GGGGGAGAAAAGAAGAGAAGAGAAGAGAAGAGAAGAGAAGAGAAGAAAGGTGAAAGCTAAGGTCATTCCTCATTAACGGGACTCGTGTAGTGGAAGTATTCACACACAGTCCTATACCTCACCAGGGTAGACCCACTTTCCTTCATTCATAATCCTCATCCCGTCACCACAGAGCTGAGAACATGGACAAAAGCCACAAAGGCTAAGAATACGATACACTGACTGATAATTATTAATCAATGGAATGCAGTTATCTGATTATATTCGGCTATGGAGAAGCTCGACATCCTAAGGATATCAGAGGAAAGAAAAAGTGAAAAAAAGGGGAACCGAAAAGGCATAATGCCATTTCTATTGGGGTTCAGGAGTACTATTTCTTTGATACAAATACATTGTATGTATCGTGCAGTCGTGCAGTTAACCCTTTATTTTAACATTTTCAAGAGATTCCGTAGTTTCAAGAAGTTCGAAGTAGTCTTAATTAAAGAAGAGCTAAGCCCTGGCCAAGAGATTTCTATTTACACGTATCCAATATAGCGCTGTGACCACAGAGGGTCGCTGAATGTATTTTATATTTCTGTACTTTTCTATACATTCTATGGCCCCTGCCCGCCCCTCCCTTTTCCCTCTTCTCCACCAACATCTCATGATATTGACTAACATTTTCCTGTTTGGTTTACCCAACCCCCGGGGCCACCAATCAGATGAGAGCGAGGAAAACTGGCCGAAGTGGGACTGGGCACAGGACGGACTTCTTGGTCTATCCGGGGAGAGAGTCGTTCGTCTCAAGCATAAGCTTACTGACCTCAGAGACGAGCTCAGAAAACTCAACGCAGAGGGGAAGAGACTTGTGTTCGTGAGTACATCTAAAATTTTTATTTTATACTCTCTTTTTTTACATTGGTTTACTTCTTTAAAGTTTGAGTTAGGAGAATCACAAAGTCCCCAAAAGCTAGCATGAAGTGCATCGAAAAAGCAATGCAGACAAATATAAATAGCAGAGGGAAATAACTTTTTGGCCCATTGATTTACTAGAGTTTAGCTTGAGTGCATTGACACAATAACAGCTATATAGTGCATTGAAAAGGAAACATGACAATCAGGAATAACAGAATGAGAGAGAAAAAGTATCGCTAACCAATGGCGTCCTCCAATCTCCCACTGTTTTCCTTATAATTGAAGCAACACATGGTGTTATGGAGCTGTGAATTAATTGTAATTGTCCTTGTTTTACTGAATACCCATTGCACATGTCCCAAAGAGTTTATACGGAGAAAGTTAGCCCATTTCACTCCCGGATATGGTTCCAACTTGTTAGCTAGAATTCTACCTCGTCTGTTCATTATCATTTACCCCCTTCCGTCCTCCCTTCTCCCAGCAATAAAATGGTTGTACTTGTAAATATGCAATTCTTCATGGCGAAAGTTGGTCTAAGTACATTTTGCCCCACACCCCCCACCCCCCAATTTAAAAAAAGTGTTTGGGGGTCTGTAAATTAAAAGATATATTATCGAATGACTTCACGACGATCCAAATGTGACGCCACTGAGAGTGGAGATCTCAGATGTGTGTAGTAGGTCATGAAAGCCTGATTGGGCTTTTTGAGGCAAGGGTAAAGAAGTTCACCCCAGTAATGATTAAAATTGAAAGTGTTGATGACATTTTAAGCATTTGATACATTCACAACGAAACCCGCACAAACACGCTGTCCAATTATGCTCCTACATCACAGGTTCTGTAACCCCATGATTTACTTTCTGTCTCCTTGTTTCAGTGATGAGATGGGGCTTTTTTTGTTGACTCTCCTCATTTTCCAGTCTTTGTTAACAGGTTTAGTGGTGTGGTTTATGATGTCTAATGTAATCATGGTTTTTATTTTGTTACCTGGTTTTTCAGTATTCTGTGCCGTACATTTTGTATTTATTAGTCTGGTTTTTAATTTCATTGGTGTGTTTTCTCTTGTAAGTGTGTACAAATCATCCATACCCCCTCACCTTATATCTTGAAATGGCTGCGATTAGGAGAAATGGGTTTGCACCCAGGTGACGTCTCGGACTTTTTAACTCCCCAAGCAGGAACGTCTTAAAATTCTTCTCTCTTTGGCGTCTCGGTTAAAAGCAAAGCTCGGCGAGGCATTTGCCACTGTCTCCTTTTCAACACCGTCTTTATAGTTCAGCTCTCTATGGGAATTTACAAGTTTGTTCTTTCTATAGGAAAGAAATTAACTTTCCTAATTCGTGTATCTCCAAATGGGAGCCTTATTAGTTGGTATCCGTGATCTTAATGGTTGAGAATTCTACTTTTTGCCAGGACTAGATGGACTGAGTGACTACTCAAAAAGCAATGTTCAAATATTTACATATCGTATTTCCAGACTTGTTTTCTCTGTAGGAGGCCCAACTTTTCCAGTTAAGCGCCTTTTAAAACAATCATACTTGATATTAATCCAAGAACTGTTTCTAATTATGGCTCATTCTTAAAACACACGTGTTCTTCGCCTGCGGATTACTATTATAAAAAAAGAGGCGGGGGCCCTGCAGAGTTGCTCCCCAAATACCTGCTTGAAAACAGTTATTATGGGATGTGATATCCTGGTTTCGATCATTTCAGAGGTGTTTTGTTATTTGGTACTGTACGCATCCTTATCCTGTTTATGGTGGAGGGGGTGGCGTTACGGAAACAGTCAGCGGGGATATTAATTAAAAAGCAACTAAAATTGGCGACCATTGTAACCATTGTATTATACGCAGGATATCCTCTAGCCTATGTAACACGGCGGATGTTCATCGTATTCATTGTGTCCTTGTGCGGGTGACGAATGGGCGAGTCTGGTTTTTGGGTTTGTCTATTTGAGTGCATGCTTTTGTGTGAATGGAGACGTGTGTGTGTGAGTTTGTAAAGTGTGCATGTGTGTCTGTATGTTAGTTGATACACGCTTACGGCTATTTTTATGTATGAGTACATGTGTGTGTTTATTTACTTGATTGTTTGCCTGATTTTTATATTGGGAATTGGGGGAGGGGGATGCTGAAAAGAATTTTATGGTGTCCATGAAGATCTTAAGAACGTGTGGGTACTTCAAAAAATGAAACAGGACTTACAGTTTTCTGCAGACGTCCTGCTTTATGACTATGGAATGTTTATGACTTATCAGTGCTCTACTTTGTGATGTTAAAGCCGGTTCTCTCAAATTGGTGATTTAATTTTTGTTCACGTCTTCCTGTTACTTTGTTTGTATCTCTCCGTTTGACCATTTGTTTGTCTTTCTATCTTTTCCATTGCTTGTCTGCAGATCCCCCCCCCCCCCCCAACTTGACCTCCAGTCCATCTGCATTTCCGTCCACTTTTCTATTGTCTTTCTTTTTGTGATTTTCCATCACTGTACCTCTCCATCTGAAGATAAAGCCGCCAAAGAGAGCGACACTCTAGTATACAATGTCTGTCAAGTAAAAAGGGCCTTCCCCTCAAACGTAAAGCCAAACCCTGTTTGATTGAAGTCCTCGCCCCTCCACTACGACCAGGCCGGCGACATTTTTACCGTGGCTGTTAACGGCATTCTATTGCCGGGAGTGCTCTCATCAACCTGCATGAATTATGTAAATGCGAGCAACGCGAGAAATGTATACCAGCATGAAAGTAACGGTCGTTTCGTCGCCTGGAGGGAACTGTGGTGTGAGATAGAGAGCCCCAGTCTTTGGAGAGATTGTTTTGAATGGTCACGAATAGTTTTCTAGGTACACTTAGGACTGAGTGCGTGTCCGCCGTAGTACGGGGTGCTTTTCTAAATTACAGGTACAGTCTATAATATAATAACACATTTCGGGAAGCAATCTTGATTATACAATTCTTTTTATTATTTTAGGGAAAGTCATTAATTTTACGTTCACCTGCATTGGTCGTAAATGACGAGCACACAAACCCCAACCCACTGGGTATTCTTTGAGAAATCAATGAGACTAAAGCCTGAGCTGAAACAATTGAGCTATAACTCACTTTTCTATTCGTTGAGATGCAGTTTGTATGATCTTGAAGACCAGTGTACCGAGAAATATTACTGTGTACTTCAAAGACGTGGTCAACCGCAACGTTGGTGGACGTTACTGATGTGGGGCAGATGGCGATCAAGATGGCTCCGTCGCTGGGCCCTCCTTGTTTTGGTTATATTTGCATGATCAAGTCAACGGACCGTAGAGGAGATTACAGAACTAGGAGGAAAAAAACAACAGACTTCCCACTAACCGTGAAAACGTGCTTCGAAAAGGTCACAAATCTCAGAACGATGTTACTTGGTTACATGTCCAAGATATCACGTTTCGTGATATGACTACCATTACAAGGAATCATTGGCACTTAAATTACTTATTTGTGTTAGAAATGTCTTAGAACTCTCACAAAGAAAACTTTTTTAAAATTCTTGTTTCCATAGCACTAATTGTTATGACAGTTGTTGTGTTTTTTTGGTGTTGTTGCCCTTCTTATTTTTTTTTCTCTTTGACTCAAACTCAAACCTGTTGCCCACCAGAAATAGGAGTAACCTTCCTCCTACCGGTTGTAAAATAATACAAGAATCTGTGTGCTGAGATATATATCTATTTTGTCTTTATCTTCCCTCTTCTCCATCCTCTCTCTCTCTCTCTCTCT